TCACTGCTTCCCGCAGTGACAGTGCTTCCGCTCGAGTCGTAACTCCAAGCAAGTTGTTGATTCTCCTGAACAACTCATATCCGCAAGTGAGTCCTCCCTGCTCTCGTTCCTGCAGGACTGCGAGGTCCAATCCCCTCTCGTATCCTGACATTGCTTGTTTCATCCAGTGATACAGTTTACTACTCCTCACTGCGGCTTCCGGGGCAAGTTTCCCTTGCTCAATGGTAGTTGTTTGTTTCACTGCCTCTTGCAATTCCGCTGCGTAGCACTCATCCAAAAGACACAACCACGATCCAAATCGTTCTCGGAAGGATAACCAGGTGTTGATCTCATGTCTTCTTCCTGAATCTTTGATCTCAAGTTGTGGACAGTTCGGTATGTAACTCTCCATCTTTCCTCCACTGCTTCCAGAATATTTTGAGTCAGATTTCTTGGGTGCTGAGGTGAACAGTGATCCTGCTCTCGGTGTACTGGACGTAGCAGCTTCCTCTGCAGCTTTTCTCTCCTCTTCTGCCTTTCTCTCACGCTCATCCGCTTCGCGTTGAGCTTGGTCTTTCAAGACATCAGTCTGCATCTGAACCAAACCTGATACTAGCTTGGTCAGTTCTGAAATTTGCGCTCCTTGTCCAGCGATCAAGTTCTGCTGTTGAACTATATTCTGATGCTGGTTTCTCAATACTTCGATCAACGCTTCCTGTGTCAATCCCTGTCCCCCGGTAGGACTCGCAGGCATCTGAGGTGAGTTGAAATTATCCTGAAACGTTCTCCCCGTTGGGGTAGGGCTGTTCGGTACCGGTATCTCTGCAGCAGCACTCTCTGCTGGATCTGGCGGTGGAGATCTCTCTCGACCTGTGTACTCTTCCATACTCACTGGTCGCCTCCTCGTTGGTGATGCTGTCCGTCGCTTGGTAGGACTGGACATTCTTCCTGGGAGCTCCACGCTCCGCTACCACGAAAAACTCCGGGTAGCAACCTTACACGGTAGACTACCTACCTCCCCTGGATCTTTAGCTCAAGGACGGAGGAGAGAAGGACGGAGGAGGGTGTGAGACGTGAGATGACAAGATGAGTGTGTGTGTGAGATGACGAGATGATTGTGTGTGAGGGAAAGAGGTCAGATGTGTGTGTAAGAGAAGGACGGAGGAGAGAAGAAGGACGGAGGAGGGAAGGACGGGCGGGCGAGCGGGCAGAGTCGGGCGGGATGGCAGCCAAAAAACTAGAACCCCACACAGAGATGTGGGGAAAAAGACCAACTTAATAAATTGTTGATTTAATGATTTCAACCCGGAAGTACGAAATGCTCTAAGTGCAGAAGTCTCGTTGCAATCTCATTCTGGCGCACTATCTCAGTCAATGTCAGGAATATGCAGCTTAGCTGGCAACCAAAACAAAGACCTGAAAGGTTTAGAAACCTGGCTGGAGGTCTCCCAGTACGTTCTCACTTGGCTTGGGTCACATAGCCTCGTGATTTCGTTGCGCATCGATTTGCGGCGGTGTCATCAAGGTTGATGACGCACACTTTCCGGTTATCTGCGCGAGCCTGTTGACATAGACGGTCAAAAAAATGCCAGAAAATGAGAAGCTGCTTTTGGCTTCCAGCCGACGTGTACGGCTCCTCTTTTGAAGCCAAAAAAAGTAAATTCAAAAAGTAAATCAAAAACAGGTTCACCTTTAGGCTTTTTTGTCTCACGCAAAACTGACCTCCAACGTTTGAGGCAAACACCTGTGGATCTCAGACAATGCTGATTTCCAGGTTTCTAAACCTTCAGGTCTTTGTTTTGGTTGCCAGCTAAGCTGCGTATTCCTGACATTGACTGAGATAGTGCGCCAGAATGAGATTGCAATTTCTAGACACGAGACTTCTGCACTTAGAGCATTTCGTACTCCCGGGTTGAAATCATTAAATCATTAACTAATTAAGTTGGTCTTTTTATTACAAAAAAAGAGTTTGAAAGATCAAACTTGACGAGTTAACGATGTAACGATTATTTTTTGGCTATCTATTTTGGCGCAATTATATTTTCATTGCTGTGGCTTGCTGGCAATTGCTGGCAAACAGCTAAGCTGTAACCAGAAGCCATCGACAAAAGAAAAAATAGAGGCCGAGCCAACTCCAGCGAGCATTGAACCAAAGAAAACAAACCTTTTGCAGACACACCCGGGGGAACAGAATTGGTTGACAGTTTTCACGCCCATTTTCAGAGTCCCACTCTTTCGTCTAGCGTTCTGCCACCTCTGGCCCATGGTTCCACCTGCGCCAGCAGCAAAACACGCCCTCGACGACGCAAAGTAGTGCTTCAGGCTTTTTGAAACACAAGAGGGCACCGCCATGAAATTGTTTTCGGTTTTTGGAGATTTCAAACTGGCCAAGCACGACGGTAGTCTGGAACGACCCTTCTCCCTTCCGTCTTCAGTCAACATCCCACTCATGCTCCACAACTCGAAGACTACCTTGCCACTGCTCGGCATTATTATAGCAGTTCACTCGCAATTGGGTACAAGCCTGCTCTCCAAGAACGCCGACGATATTGTGCAGTTGGCCACGGAGGCCAGCGGGTCCCACTACTGTCCGATTAGCCTTGTTTGGCGCTACCCGCTGGGATGTTGACGTGTCGGGGGCACATAATGAACTAACCCGACGATTGTGTCACCAACAAAGTGTCTTCCCAAGCCTGCTCCCCATGGCACCATTGCGACAGTGGCTTGCGGAAAGCTGGCAATTGCTTCTAGGTCCTGATGCGCTCCCTAAAAGATGGCCGCTCATTGTCATCAACAGCGCCACCAGGGCCGGGGCTGTTGCCTGGCTGCAACAGCACCTCCTGTCACCAGTTCCGTTGACCCTGGCGGCCTTTCGTTTTCTGCAGCAAGACAGCCCGTTTGAGCCGGACTTCACCTTGAGTGGAAATGTAAAGGACCATATGCATGGTATCGTCTCCGGACGACAGTGTTTGAAGAACTTTTGGATGCTCGTTGGAGCAGCTGTGTATGTTGGAGACACTCTCGATGCTCTTCGGAGCATCTACGTGTTGGTGGATTGTGTGAATGCTTGATGGATGGTCACGACATCCATCCTGTGGATATTGTATATGTATCGCACTCACATTGCATACCTGGGAGGTTATGTGTTTGGTTGCTTTTGTCTTCCCCCTTTCCTCCCTTTCCTCCCTTTCCCCCTTCCTTCCCCCTTTCATCAGCCACACTGGAGGTACACCCACGAGGTGTGTCTGAGGATCCCCTTCGCGGGGTCACCATGCTGAAAAGTGTGGTGTCTGACGGGGGGAAACGCAAAATGTGTTTCTTATTTTGCTTTTTGGGTTCATAACCTCCTGTTGGGTGCTAGAGTGGTGGCGCGCAAGAGATCTCAGCGATCTCGATATGAATTAGATGGGTTGGACGTCACGAGGGTGACTTTTGGGTCCAATGGAAACCACCATAGGTTCGTTCGCCTTGCGGGAATCGTTTGAACGTCGTTTTCGGATGAACCACGTTTGTTTTCGGCTCACCTTCAAGAGGATGGAGATGGAGTTTAAAGAAGTCAGACATGTACAGATGTACACACTGTAAAGCACCTTGCGTTGGTTTGTGTGTCGCGCAAAAGGTCGCTTGACGCTTGCGGCGTTGTTGGGTTCGGGCCTTGTGAGGTCGTTTGGGGTTCTGGTTTTTGGCAATTGCAGCGGTGAATTTGGCAGCGCCAAAAACAAGGGGAAAAGCGCTGTGGAGCCGGAGTCGCCACAGTGGGCCTCTCTGGTCGCCGTTGGGCGCAATGAAAACATTGAGCAGTGTCGGGGTGTCAACGCTGACTTGCAAGGTTGGGTGTTTTTGTGGGGAGCAATCTCAGCTCGCAGCTGGAATGGCTTCGTGCGTTTTCAACATTTTTTGATGGAAGGGTTGCAAAGATGCGTCAACGAGCGGCCCCCATTTTGGGGGAGGGAATCTGACCCCCAAAATGGGGTTGCTGCTTCGTGGGTTCATGATCTCCGTTTTGGGGTCAGATTCTGTCCCCCAAAATCGGAGCAAACGCACGGTCGACCCAAGTGCGAGATGTGCCACCCACGGAAGCGCCAAACCTTGCAAGTCCATCGTCGACACCCCGATACGTCCAATGTTTCCATTGCGTTCAACGGCGACTGTGAACTTTTTCCGCCAGGGCAGCGAACCTTTCGAACTAGCAAGCGAGGGTGAAGCGGCCTTTTTCGCTGCAACCAATGCAATCCTTCAACCACCGGCGAGTCGCAGTGAGTGAGCCGGAGCAGTTAAGCAATTCGGAGATTCGTTGACAATGCCGAGGATGAACAAGCGCGCGAAAGAAGAACATGATACCACGTTACAAGTTTCTCGTCACAACTTGACACTGGAACCGCTGGAAACGAGCAGGCTTGCAAGGCACCAGTGTGAAGCAGGAAGTCGACACCACCGCAGCAAGAATCGCAAACAGAGCCAGAATGCTCAGCAGCCGCCACCGAACTCAGTGGCGTGCCCAACCGAACTTGAAACAATCGAAGTAGCAAGGTCAGTTCAGTTGGTCATTGACTGCCTTGTAAGCAAAGCATTGCCCGCCGAAGGGGGATAACGAAACATGGCTCTGGTCAGCTACGGCTCGTGGGTGTCTCTCTAATCCGGGTGACACGCAAGGACCTCTAACGCAAAAGTTCGTTGAGGAAGAACCGTTAGTTCGACAGCTACTCTGGAGTTGTTTGTGTGTTCTCTTTTTAAATGCCTTTACAGGACCGGGGTTTGTGTGCGATGGGCAAGTTTTTGATATTTCTTCTTCGCGTGCAGCCACTTGACTTGAGAGGATTTAGTTCCGATTGTTTTTGCACGTTCAATTTACTGTAAACAACTGTGCACCAAACATGTGTGACGTTTTGCAAGTAAACCTCAAAAGAAATGAAAGACCTCTTCTGTTGCTGATCCATCCAGACAGTGATGTTATCCAACCATCAACCAGTCGTTCGTGCCTTCCCTTTACTGAGGGTCCAAAAGAGCACCATCCAGTGGCCATGGCATCCTACAAATCAACTTTGCGGTTTTGCACGGAGCCTAGGGAATTCAGCACGGGCCCACGGTACGCCGTTACATGTTCGTCCATGCGCGAACAACATGTTGTTTGGGCCAAAAATGATGCGATGAGTCAATGAGGCCCTGAGTGCAACAATTCCAATTGGATGATGGGCAAGAATGAAAAGATGGACCGGTCTCTTTGAAAAGTATTTCTGAATCACAGCCGCTTGGAACTCCATGGGCAGGAATTGGTTTTCACTTGCAAAGTCTGCTCCAACGTGGAGGCCATGCTTAATGAACATATTGTGGACAGTTGCTAGTGGAAGGGAATGTGTTTGGAGTTTGTTGGTGACTGAAACGTGTGGACAGGTTTCATTGCTTTGCCAGGTAGTGCCAATGGAGGTGGGAATTGCTTGGTTTGGACTATGTATTGCATGCTGACCTATGACAGCTTCGTTGCATTGCTAGCTTTGCAGGACACAGACAATGATGGCAACCCAAAGCGGATTGATGATCTATGTGTTTTTCGCCACGATGTGCTGTTTGTTGCGAAGGACGGTGACATGTGAGAGATGCCTGTTTGGCTTTCCAACATTGGGAGTGCCCAAAGACCTTGAGAAGCGATCAGTGCTGATGCAGGAGTCGATCATTGTCATGCCTGATGTCATTCATGATCCGACGCTTCCCAGGGTCAGTGCCTTATTTCGCAAGTTCAGCCAGATTCGTTGAACCGATTTGTGAGGTTTATGACTATGACTGCCACGTGTGTGGACACAACCAAGCTTCACACTTACCCAGCATGAAGCATGTGAGATTGAGAAGTGAGATGAATGAGAAGAAATGCTTTAGGCCACTTCTTCCATCCGGATCTCCCGAGGCTGTTTATTACCGCTTGTCAGAGACCATCGTGAGTGATGCGATGGCGATTATTTACGTTTGCTGTGAGCCGTTCGGCTGAAAGACCGTTGTTTTTTGGTCGTAATATACACCCTTTATGTGTTGCTATGGTTGTTTTGTTTGTTTTCGTTTTTGCATTTATTTCTATTTTTAACAGGCTTGTTTGCAATAGAGAGAGAGAGAGAAAAGCATGTGAGACAAAGACTTGGTGAAGTTCTGGTTGTTGACTTGTGCTCCATTCATGGATTAAATATATATATATATATATCCAGCGTAGGACTTGGCCCAAGCAGCTCCAAACGACGTATACAACCTTGGCTCAATGCCCTTTTGCTTGAGGTGTTCGAACTGGCGTACTGAGGGCAAGGAAGTCTGGAGCCCAGTCAGTACTCAAGGTGCAGATGGCCCGATGGCTCATTCCCTTGAGACAGATGGACAATAGTCTTTGAGAGTGCAAACATAGGCAAGGCTCAACCCTTATGGCCCCACAGGGCCAGCTGCATGTTCCGTCACTTCCGTACCACCAGCCGAAGTGCGTTGGACCCTTCGACCAAATCCGTGAGGTTCAATACTCAGTGCCACAGGGCAAGGCCGAGCAGACTTCCGCCCTTCCGGAACTGGATGACAAAGCTCGCGAGGAGGTAGATCCGGATGAGGTGGAAGGGGAGAAAGACAAACCTAGCGAGGGAGAGGAAGAGGAAGATGATATAACCAAAGCCAAGGAGCCCCGCTGAGTTGCAAAAAGGTGCCAGAAGTCCAGTTGAAGAGATATTCGCAGAAGCATTGCACAATCTTGGAAAGCATGGCTGACGCATGGAAAATGGTGCATGCAGCTCATGTGGATATGGGTGATTGGCTTCGGGCGCATCAAGAACCGTGTTCCAAAACGGAACGGTTCATGTAGATCTAGCTGGTTCATTGCTGAAACAGATGACTTTGGATCAGCGCATGTGTCTCAAGATTTTCAAGGAGGTCATGCCAAGTTTCCCTTCAAAAACACATTGAAAAGGTAATCTGGTGGTGAATATTAAGTGTCCCCCAGAAGCATTTAGCCATTTCGGCATCTTTGATATCTCCCTCAAAATCCGCTGAGATACTGCAATCTCAGCAGCAGCTCTGGTGATCCAACCATGAAAATGGCGCCATGGACCTCCAGTGGCAGCTCGCTCCCCGGTGCTAGCCTCGGGATTTGCTGCGTTCGGAAAGGTGCCAAGCGAAGCGCCATTTGGAGCAACGCGCCGTTCGTGTCGCGATGCCCTTTGTTCCGTTCGCAGCGAACTTGTGGACCTCGAGTCTTGGCCCGAGTTTCTAGATCATCGATTCATGCCGAACCCGGGAAAAAAAAAGACAGTCAAAAAAAGGGTCTACCGGGTCTACGGCTCCGGCCTATGTGGTGCGAAGTGCCTCTCCTTGAGGTGTGCCTCTCCTTCGTCCCACTTCACTTAGACTTTCTGTGTCTCCATTGCTGTGAGTGCTGGGTTTTCTGATTCCATTCTATTATCATTGCTTTTGGCATCTGGCGCTTGAAACCAACACTTGGAATCATTTTGGTGTATTTGGTTGACTTCATGGATGTGAAGTGCTGCTTTCTCTGACGTTCCTTTTCTTTGCACGCGTCTGCTCTTGACATGCGTAATACTTCTTCTGATTCAACTTGTCACGGAGGTGGGTTGCACATTTGATACAAGCATCTCCAGTGAGACCTCCAAAAGATCCGCAAACTCATGCCTCATAACTTCAGGTCCATCCAAGAACTCATTCATGGGTCATGGGGATCCTCTATGGAAATTCTGAGAAACACCCTTTGCCGAGGCCAGACGTCGCCACCATTTGCTCGTGCTCCGGGCCATTCCTCACCCAACTGTGGCTTGGTGCAAGTTGTGTTTTGAGAGGTCCCAAGTTCAGCCAAATTTCAAGCCACAAGTTGGACAAATCAGCTTGATACTGTATTTTGCCATGTGTTGCCTTCGAAGCAGAGAGCCGTGGGACCTGATGAAGATGAGGCTTGGAAACGCTAACCAATCTTTCTCTGTTTTGAACCTATGCAGTCAATCTACAATTCAGTTGTGGAACATGCCCAGAATGCTTACATGAGCGCACAAAAACCAGCTGGTTGTCTTTCGTAGCAGCCGTTTTGGGCGAAGGATTTAAGCGGTTTCTCTGCAGGAAAGTAGACGAGGAATCCTCCATGTTCCTAGGTTTTGGTCAAAAGACCAGCGACTTTGGACTGCCCCCAAAGGCTTCACCCCAAGTTTCATCATCTTTTTTTGGCGCGAAGTTCCCGGTCTTCAAGGATCCTCAGCCCAAGGTCACCTTATGAACTTAGGATGCGAGAGCCAGATCATGAGAAAATCATAAGATTAGCATAGCAATTGTGGTATCAATAATAGTGCCCCACAGCTCTTGGTTCAGAATCTGATTGGCCAGCATCGAGGTTATACGCCTACCAGGCCGCCAGTTGGATGGTTTGTACTAGCTTTCTACCGAACTGCAGTCGAAACTAAGTGTGACCGGACAACCACAGCTACGACCTGGCTTACAATCCATTTCAAGCAGGGATGCTTGTCACTGCATTTAAACTTGCATTCTTTATGGAAGTGCACCTTTATGCGATGATAGGACAACGCAGCAACACTTTTCGTGATGAAGAACGTTTGCAATCCGCGCGCCAGGCTGCCAAATCACGTAGGGCCCGCATCTCAGTGCCATTAATTTTGCATTGTTTCAAATTTTTCATTTTGTTTTATGCATTATATATATAATATGCCATTTAATTTATGTTTTCTCTTGTTTTCGCCCACTTGGCTTTTTCAGATTGCTCCGAGCACCCGATGCATCCAGTGGTGGGCTTACAAAAACCCGGAAGCTTGGGGTGAGGATGGCACTGGTCGAACTCGCTTGAAAGCTCATCTCACTTCCAAGCTGCCTAGGTCGAACCAGTCTTCAGAGTGGTCCCTTAGGTGCGAGAACTTGGCAAAGTTGTTATGGTTACCATAGCATGTTATAGCTAACAGCATGTCATAGCTAACAGCTTCTCTTTTGACTTTGCAAGATGGACACATCACTCTCCTTCACTGTCACCTAATCAGTAAACCCGACCGTTTAGTGTGTCCGAGGTGGAAGTTACAGCGTTGCCAGCCTCGTTTCCAATGACAGTGGGTGCGCCCTGCACAGCGTTGCCGAGTGTCCCACTCGGCTTTCTCCAGTTCTTTGGATGCTAGGCCAGCTGTGAAGGACCACCCCTTAGCGCCGTGCAGAGACGCACCGGACGTGAGGGAGTGGACGTGTGTCCGACCGGTGTGCTGGGAAGCGCTCATAAAGCTTCCAACTGGGAAGGGCTTCTGAGGCCTTGGATCCCACAAATCACAGGAAAAAACTGGAGTGAAACGATCCCGCGAATCATTTGCTGCTTTGGTGATTGAGACAGCCATGCCCTCGGTGGCCACACCTGGTCGGTCCAGCGGGTTGAGGCACCCCCAACCAGCTCTGGATCGGTGCTGGCGGGACAGGTGGGGCTGAGGGCGGGGCTGAGGGCGGGGCTGAGGGCGGCACGGAGTGGACGGTGGGTGAAATATGGATTGTCATAGCTTCTTGTTACTACTAGTAAGGCACCTGTTACTACTAGACTAGCGTGGCACTTGTTACTAGTAGTAACATACAATATTTCAATCGAGAGAGCACTTGGCTGCCAAGCTTTTATCGGAAGGTTCCCCTTGAAATATTGTTGATAATGCACTGGAGGACGGAGGATGAACATAAAAGTCAGCCATAGACTTAGAGAGGAGAAAACACTTTTTTGGCAATCCTGTTGAGGTTGTTCAGCCAAAAACCTGTGCCAGTTCTACGGCAATCCTGTGACCCTTGTCTGTCTCACTCGCGGATTTGTATCTGCGCCCCACAGGAATAGCTTATAGATTGGGACCAGATGCCATCCAGTCCAGTGAACCACAGCTGCTTTTGGCACAGAACTCCATTCAAGGATCAATACCAGCAGCAACTTTGTATCCGCACCTCGGATAATTTCCAGCCCTACAGTCTATGCGGAGGACGACACTTTGATCACAATGTGACACGTGTGGTTGGAACAGCTACAAAATTGGTCGCTGACAAAGACGCCACGAGGCTTGGTAGCAGTTTGGGTTTCAGGTTTTCACTTGGACATTTTCTTTTTCCCTTGATGTTACCAGAACGGTATCAAACGGCTTTGACCCCTGCCAGGGTTCTTCCCCATTGGCTTTTGATCGTGAACCTGCCAGGTGTTACAAGCTCCAAATCTTTCGAGGTTACAAGATGGATGGCAGGCAAGCCGTGATGGTTTTGGTATCTCTGCAGCCAGAGGATTCAAGAACGGTTTTAAAAGCCACGGTGTCTCAGTAGGTTTTAGTTCAACAAAAACCAATCACTAGGCGAACTCGTATGCTGTTTGTTGGTCATTCGGGAGACGCCAACTCCTTGCGCTTCCGCTGCTGGTCTTTCCGTTCGAGGTCTGGAATCCAGTTCCACCTTTGCCTCAAGCTGCTGCTCCAGCAGCCCTGTTTGGCAGGCTCGGAGAACAAAAATGAGCAGTTTCAACAACAACTTTCCTTACATATTTAGTAAGGAGTGGTCACTATCCATGACTGCCTACTATAGAATCAAAAAATCCTGGACTGTGTAAGATTTTGCTTATATAAGCGATCTGCAAAAGCGAGGACGGGTTTCCCTCCACGTACGTAAACACCTGAGGAGTGCAAGGCCTGTGTGAGGCAACAAAATAAGGACATCATGATACCACCCTGTTTAACTCGGATAGGCTTTCGACACCGCTTAGTTTTCCTGTGGGATTTGTGAGTGAACCTGACACGGAAGAAATCGAATTTGCGCCACTGTTGCTGTTGCTTTTGCTCCTAAGTGCTGCATCCAATCCGAAATGATCCAAAAATGGCATTTGAGCCCTGAGTTCTTCCTTTAGTGTAATGAGATTCTCTTGAAACATAGTTTGGATCAAATTTGAGGCAATTCGTACCGCAAATCTGTGCTTTGGATATCTTCCAGGATGCTGCGGTCACCCGCGAGTTCCACCGGAGAGGAGAAACCTACAGCTGGAATCCTAGACCTCGCTTTCACGAAGGTTGCACCAGACATATGTTGTTGGTTCAAGGTTGCCAAGCCCATGTGGGTCATCGAAGAGGCGCTTTCTTTTGTAAGCGGTAAATTGCCTCAAGCTTAGATGCTCGGTATAGCGGTTGCCAGGTCATCGACTTTGAAGCAGCAGCCGAAGAAGAGGTGGACAGTTGATATGAAGAAGCAGATGCACTGTTTCTGAAGCCTTACTAGTAGTAACAAGAAGCTACTAGGAACAAGTGCCACGCTACTAGTAACAAGTGCCTTACTAGTAGTAACAAGAAGCTATTAGTACACTGTTTTCAAAGGTCAGCATACCTTCTCCCATCTATTCACCGTGTTGAGAAGGAACACTCGGATCCAGGCAGACTTCGACAGCTTTGAATCCGTCTGCCACTCCAAGATGTTGGCTGCTTAGTGTCAGTGCCACGGGCAAAACATTCAGTGCATCCAGCTCAGTTGTCTTGCTGATTTGAACTCTCGCTTTAAGTCTTCATCTTGAGCTGAATCCAGAATGGGTTTATCTGCTTTAGTGACCAGTCCATGCTTGACAAGATCTGCTTTTGGATCCCCCACGAACGGAGGTTTCCCACTGGACTTCTTGGCGGCTGTGTGCTCTGGAGCTGCAGTGAGGAGGATGAGATCAAAAGGCCCAAACCATCTCAGGACGGGGCGTCCCTGTCGTTGGAACCTCTGCGAAAGAGCATGGTGTGATGAACATGAAAGAAGTGACCAAAGAGGGATAGCAAATTGGTCGCATTGGCGTACTCTAGCCATTTCTTAGATGGCTTTTGGGATCACCTTGAATGATGAATGCATGTATGGCTAGACCAAGTTCTTGAGCTCAGTTTTAGGCACTTCAAGCCTACTTCCAGGTCAGCTTACGATTTTAGGGTTCTACATGTCTTCAAACAGACATCATCTCGAAGATGTGAGGATTGAGGATGCCAACTTGGAGCTGCAGACAGTGGGGTGCCAAGATAATAGATCGCAAACGTTCCCAAGGAGTCTACATTGTCAAATGTCACTTCGTCTTTGAACTGTTTGTGCTTTGGTTTGTGTTATAGGTTCGCGGTATTGGGGGCATGTCTGCAACTCAACGAGAGATCAATCGCCACTTCCCCCATCATGGAATAGCTTCGTTGGCACAGGTATCCACAATGGGCCTGTGCCCCCGGCAAATTAACAAGACTCAAATATGACCACAGGTTTGCTCTGAATCCAAGGGTTATACACACACAAACAGGCGGTCCAATTTCCCTACAATCAAGCCACGAGTGGCGCATGTCCAGGGAATGGACTTGCTGCTATGAATTTCTCGCTTTTGAGTTGCAGCCGATTTGTTCTCCAAAGCGGATCGATGCTACCCAATCTTTGGCTGTTTGATGTGCTTATGTCGCCTTTCCCAGCCAAAGACACTCGATTGAAGACTGTTTGGCCTTTCAGCCAAGCAGGTTGCAGTCGTGGCTTTTCAGCAAAGCTTAGGCCGGGACATACTTCGTGGGAGCCAATGCATCGAAAAATGGAGTTCTCAAGAGTGTTTGGAGCCTGTATCCATTTGTTTGTTTGTTTGGTTGTTGTTGTTGTTGTTGCTGCAAAATTCGTAGATGAAGCTAGAATGAAAAGCCAGTGATGAAATCTGAACACAATATAGGGTAAACCTTCGAGATGTCCACATAGCGATCTGAGACTCATTTGAGTGGTGAGAGGATGAACTTGCCAAGACATCAATTTGAGACATTTGCAAATTGATGTCTGCCAGCCGTAAGTGGCTCAATTTGTGGTCACGTACTCCTACTAACTACTCCTACTCACAACCACACACACACACACTCACATAAGGATTTCACCTTGCAAATCATTGAAACATCATTCACTCTTCAAGCACGCTGTGCATTCAGTATTTGTTAGAGACTCTGAGACTCTGATCACCTGACTTTTAAGTACCGTGCCAAAGTTGCCGGCAAATTGACTCTGGACATGTCGATCGACAAGACACCTCTCGTATCAGGTTCAGATTGGGAGCGGGAACTGTCAGTAGAGGCAGAGGCAGAAGAGGTGCAAGTGATTTGTGTGGGTCTGATGCGAACTGGGCTGCAATCCCTTCATCGTGCATTTTCGATCCTGGGATACCGGAACATCTATGACCAAGAACAGATCTCGCACACCTACGAGCTCTGGGATGATGTATTACAGAATCGGGGGGCGACCGCTGCCTTCCAGACCATGTTTGGCAAGTCTTCTGTCATCATGGGAATGCCAACCTTTTGCTTTTGGGAAGATATTCTGAATCTGTATCCGGATGCCAAAGTGATCCTGACAGTTCGTGACGAGGATGCATGGTGGCGGTCGGTCAGCAAGGCCTGAAGTATGTGTCAAAGTATGTGTCATGGTTGTGCCTGAAGTTGAGGGGTTCATGAATCCTTGTGAGTCCCAGTGAATCCTTTGCAATACCCGAGATTTGGACAGTTCTTATTTGTTTTTCAAGTTTTGTTTCACTTTTACCCGTTTCTGAATCCTTGGGTCTTTCATGTCCGATAGGCCAAATTGGCCATGGACCACGACGTGCCGGGTGCACCGTTGCGATATGGTACCATTCGACGTCAGCTGGAAAAGTGGCTGGTGCCTTCGTACCACAAGTTCTGCGACTTGGCGCCCGAATTTACGAAGCTAGTAGACTGCACAAACAGCAGTTAGACCAGACAGTAGCAGCACGGGGTAAAGTCTCGGAGGAATTGGGCAAATCATGCTGAAACACACACACACTTATGATTTTGCGTACGGAACTGAAAGCGGTTGCCACGCGCCAGCCTAAGTGAAAAACCTAAGGGTCCAGGTAAAACACCACAAGAAGCCTACAACTCCTGCAAGCTCAAACTCTCCAAGCTCACTCTCCAAGGTACAAGCAAATGCGTGACTGCCGATGCAAACAGATGCGATGGCTGGAATTCTTGTTCTAGTTACAAACAGGGCCCACGAGGAAATTGCTCAAGTAAAACTGCAGGTACGCCAGACTGATCAGGTCTGGTATCACCACCAGTTGCAAGTGTCTTCGTTGGCAGGAGACTTGCAATGGTGCTCGTGCCCCCTGCTGATCAAAAGAACAACTGTAAAGTACAGTGACTACAAGGGGCACACACACACACGCCTCCCCAAAGGGAGGCATATTTTGTTCTAGGCTCCGGGCCAGGGTGGGTTAGGTGAGAACTATGTAAGCCGTTCCCGGAAAGTTTGATAAGCCGTGAGCGGGAGTCTCATGACGGGAAGGGGAGGAGAAGAACTCATCACACTAAGGCCCCGACAGGTTCCAATGAACCTTGAGCAAGCCCTGGTCGCTGCGACCACGTACGGCCTGCCGGAAGGCTGCCACCTTTGACCGCTGCGGTCATGTAAAGGCATGAGCCAGCTTGGAATTTAATACTTCAGCAAGTCTTGGCAAATAACTTTGGCATAAAGCCTGCTCCGCCCGCTCCGGGCACGTACATCTCCAAGCAAGGGAGATAAAGACTAACCCCCGTTCAACGGGTCCATGGGAGGCACTCTGCGGGCCCATCCCGGGCTGGCATTAAGCCAGACACACTTATGGTTTTGCGTACGGAACTGAAAGCGGTTGCCACACGCCAGCCTAAGTGAAAAACCTAAGGGTCCAGGTAAAGCACCGCAAGAAACCTACAACTCCTGCAAGCTCAAACTCTCCAAGGTACAAGCAAATGCGTGACTGCCGATGCAAGCAGATGCGATGGCTGGAATTCTTGTTCTAGGTACGAACAGGGCCCACGAGGAAATTGCTCAAGTAAAACTGCAGGTACGCCAGACTGATCAGGTCTGGTATCACCACCAGTTGCAAGTGTTTTCGTTGGCAGGAGACTTGCAATGGTGCTCCTGCCCCCTGCTGATCAAAAGAACAACTGTAAAGTACAATCCGAAAGGATCCCTGTGACTACAAGGGGCACACACACATACTGTATATCTAAAAAGGAAAAACCTATTTAGTCACAGGATCTCTTCGAAAACGATGATCAGCTTTGCTGTTTTTGCTATTTCATCTTTCGGCAAAACGGGCAGCGGTGGCAGTGAGGTGAAGTCTTGCGATTCGCCTGGGCGACCACACTTGGAGCCACCGGGCTCCAGATCGATATGCTCAACGAGTGGCCAGGATTGACCATGGCATGCGAAGTGGGAGATTTTGTTTCAATGTCCAGTCGTTTTTTCAGCAAGTGGGTGAGGTGGGGTGTAGGTGTTTTGTCCTTATTCATTTTCATAGATTTTTTTCACAAATGGGAAGACACCAGAGATGACGAAGCCGGACCGAATGGCCAGAAGTTCGGCACGGGGCCCGCTACTGTAGAAGCAGGAAGAAGGAGGGGGCCCACAGAAGGAAAGCAACCTGATGGGAAGCATTCAGAACTTCATTGTGAAAATCCCTGGAACGGCATGTTCTTCAAAGACATTCAAAACGATTTTGCCAGCAAGTTAAAAGAGGATGAGAATTCCAATGCCCACCCCAAGTTTCGGCCAATTCTGGTCAAGCTTAAGCACGTGGAAGGTATAAAAACAGTGGATGAGTGAACTGGCTTCACTGGTCACCTGGAGATTGTTCACCAGGGATTTGACGTTCGGATTGTTCACCTGGTGTTCACCTGTGATTCCCGGGGTCTGGATGATTTGGATGGTCTGGATGCTGAGATCCACGACGAGACACAGCTACCGGCAACACAATTCCTATGCGCCTTGACTTGAAGATTGGCATCCGACTCCTGCGGATGAGTCCTCAAGTCCTCCCCATCCACCGCCCACCTGTGAGCAAGCGAAATAGTCCGAAGAATGAGTGGATTGCATGCAGTCTTGTGAGTTGTAAGGCAGTTTTACAGTTGTTCTCAACACGTACCCCGGCTTTTGACATCCTACAGCATCAGGTGAAGTCCCTGCTGCAGGGCAAAGTGGACAAGTTGCTTAGCAGAAAGCAGTGAGAGACTCCTTGGGCCTTTTCATTCCTTTTCACGTGTCAAAGTCCACCACAGCAGGATGCACTAGGATTGCAGTGTTCGAAGTGGACAGTGCTGGAAGAAGCTGCAGACTATGTTCTGAAACCAGATTTAAGGTTGAGCAAAGGTTGCACAACACCAGCTTCTGGTAAGCCGCAGCTTAGGGGTGGTAAGCCGCAGCTTCTGGTCTTCGATGTGCGAGAGGGCTGGGAGCCTTTGTGTGCCTTCCTTGACAAGCCAGTTCCTGACAGGAGTGCGTTTGGGCGCTTGGATTTGTTTTTCCCGTTTAGAGATGGGTGGGACTCAGCGAGAGTACATTGCGGTGCTGACAGTACCTAAGATGTGAAAGATACGGCTGCAAAACGAATGAATGAGCACGATTGATACCTAGCCATCAGTCTTCATTTGGCCTGCAGTGCTATTCTTGCTCTCGTCCTTGGGATGCGCAGGAGCTTTCCTAAGCAGGAAGAGTTGACGAGCTTCTTGGCCAATTTTCCCGACACTGAGGCACTTGTTACTAGTAGCGTGGCACTTGTTACTACTAGCTTCTTGTTACTACTAGTAAGGCACTTGTTACTAGTAGCGTGCCCTGTTTCAGAGTTTCTTTTCTCTGCTTTTCTTAGCTACTGCCTTCAGCTTTTCAGCCTTTCTGCACGAAACTGGGGTCCCGGATTCTGGAAGATGTGGTCTGCTTTGCCAAGTGGACTCGAACTCGCTGTTCGAAATCAGAGAAGGTCCAAAAGTCCTAAAGTGTCAGAGCAACCATTTCCCAAAGGCTTGGTACATTACATATCCAATCAAATCCCATTCTTCTCGCTTTGCTTTGTAAAGTTAAAATTCGCAATTCTCTTTGATGGACCAATCTACCAAGAAAATCAGCGCTCTATACTTTTGCTTCTTTGCTGGCTCGCTTGTCCATATATCGACATACATATATATATATATATATACGCATGA